TTGTGCAGGTACATACAGTCTGTGTGGGAGCAGCCATAGGCCAGGCATGTCTGTTACTTTCAGCGGGCACAAAGGGGAAACGGTTTATGATGCCACATGCCAAAGGTAATGTGTGCATTCTAGTCAACGGATTGCTCACTCTTGATAATCAGAGATTCTTAATCGTTTGATTCAATATGTTGCAGCAATGATCCAGCAACCTCGTGTGCCTTCTTCTGGGTTGATGCCTGCCAGTGATGTCCTGATTCGTGCCAAAGAGGTTTGATGTTCCCTCTGTACACTATGTGTCCTGAAAATCTAATGTCAACTGAGATTTTTTCATGATGTTTTGCTTATACGTTTTTTTTTCGTATTTCATTTTCATGTTACTATCACATATCTCTGATCATTTGGACACAAATTTCTCACTTAAGCATTTGGCTCAAATTTCTGAAACTGATTTTCATTACATCTCTCACTTTCCTGGTTGCAAATGCAGGTTATAACAAACAGAGATATACTTGTGGAACTACTATCAAAGCACACTGGGAATGTAAGTGGGTAACATTTCTTTGACTTCATAACTTGGAAGGGAGATATTCTATGGCTGATTTAAATCGTTTTAAATGTCTTATTTAGTCCTTGGAGACTGTAGCTAACGTGATGAGAAGGCCATATTACATGGATGCACCAAAAGCTAAAGAATTTGGAGTCATTGACAGGGTAAGTTTAGGCACTGTAAATTGCTATGTTGATTTTCATATGCACGCAGTAAGAGATTGAGATAATTCGTCGTCATTAAGTAAAGTAATTCCCTGGGTCAAGTTTCCCTCTCAGCGTAAGCTAATGGCAATCACACTACCAATTCTTTATTTCTCTTCCATTTATGAGCCTCAACTTGCTAAAACCTATTCCTGATGTTTGCCTTCGCTTAATGATGATATGTGTTCAGAATCTTCCAACTTACAGCCAATACCACAAGTGTTTCATAGCAAAATCAACCTTCAACTAGAATTGTTTATGTTGTTTGATACATATTCCTTCGATTTTGAGACCTTACTTATTGGAAAATTGCGTCATTTTTCGTTTCCCTTGGGATTTAATGTTCATCAAAGATACATGACATTACTTGGCTGATTTTAAAATTTCGAAGTGTCCAGTGTGATTTCTATTGGTTCTTGATCATTATATTAGTCTTTGTTACTAAAGAGTTTTTATCATCAAGGATTATCTCAGAACTTGTTGGTCTCTGCTGGACTGAAAGAAAAATTTGTAATACTGTCACCAGATCCTTTGGCGTGGTCAAGATCAAATTATTGCGGACGTTGTTCCTTCAGAGGAATTCGACAAGAACGCCGGGATCAGAAGCGTAGAACGAGTCTAGTTTCAAGTTCTCTTGCCCCAAAACATTGTAAGTGAGAGCCGCTTAACTCTTCATCACTACTCTTTAGGCGTGAATCATTTAAGAACATGGAAATATTCCTTGCTCGGTCCTGAGTAGCTATAGCTAAAATATGCTACTAGAGTGAAGCAGAAGAAGTTAGCATCTAGATATCTGATCATTTCTAACTCACCTGCAAAATTTATGTCAGATCATTCAAAAATCTTATGGATAAGAAAAAGTCAGTGTCTTTTCCTTTTTGAAGACTACCCATTACATTTTTTGAATCTTGATATTTTTTTTTTGCTTCAACTCTCTTCATTTGCAGGTTCCAATGGACAACAATATAATAGGATTAAAGACTGATCCAGTTCACATGGTTGTGGCTGTCTTCTTTCGAACCAATTGGTAAATGTGCATCATGCGATTAGGAGAATCATATTTAAGAAGATCTTGGAATATATACTATGATGAGTTTGTAATGTCTATGTTCGTTAGCTCTCTCACAAGCAAAAAGTAAATGTAATCTTCAACTCTCTCTCTCTTTTCCCCCGGATTTCAATTTGAACAAATGAACAGTTTCATACTTCTTTTCGGGCATAACTTTCTTTTTTTCTGTAAGCTTTTCAAAATTTAAATTATCAGCCCCGCTTGACTAGCAATCGCATACATTATAAACTTGATTTAAAAACTAAATGAGAAAGTGCGTTAGCGTGTAATTACATCCCTATCTTCCCAGTCAAGTTACATGTATATGATAAGGATCCTATGGCCCGGTAAAAGATTACATTCCCAAAATTTACACGAAAACTCAAAAACAAAAAGCTCCGATGCCGGGAATCGAACCCGGGTCTCCTGGGTGAAAGCCAGATATCCTAACCGCTGGACGACATCGGATTTATTGGTGATTTGCTATAAACTATTAATAAAATATTATGAAACTAACAAAGTACAGTTTGTTACTTCTTTTGAGATCTCGGAAAATGTCTCAAGTTCCAAGTTCTAGTCTCTACTTTTGAATCTGGAACCCCTTCAAAGTGGTTATTATATATATCAGCTTGACATGTTTTGTTTATTAATTTACTACAGTATTTAATTTGAGAATGCACTTATATTCAATGATAGGCTTTCAAAAAGTAGTACGTAGTTATAAATTTATAGTTATAAAACCAGTAGCTAAGGTAAGTTTTAAGAAATAGTAATGATTGAAAAAGTTGAATCTAGAAATTTTCCTTGTGGAATTCAAACTTGGTCGTAGTTTTCCTAGAGAAATCTTGAGCCAATCTCTTCAACTCTCCTATGATACATGATCTACCGCAGTAGAAAACCCCTACAAACAAAATACAAAGGTAAAATACATTACTACTACAGAGAGTCAGAGATTCTACGAGAAATTAAATCTTCTATATATATATATATAAATAAATAGTTTACGGGATTTTTGTAATGATCACATACCAACTCGTTGATTGACGTGGTTCACAGCAACGTGCTTAAAGACGCTGCGCCAATCGGGTCGGGCGAAGTGGGTTCGGACCCGAGTACCCGACACGATGTCAATACCGTTCTTGGCGTGGTGCAATGACTGCAACATCGTGATTAGTGCTGATCTCGCGTCTCCTTCCTCGTACACGCTCGTGCAGTAATTATGTAGCTCAATGATCCCCTCACTATCATACTCAGCTACCTTTTGTTCAATTTTCTTCTAATTAGTTCTCAGTGTATAAAAATATTATTCAAAAAATATTATTGACTATATACATACACATGCATATACCTCGTTCATGACCTCACTGAACCATTCTAAAGATCCCTGCTCCCTTGTTACCCAATAGAAATAAGCTCGCTTTGTGTTGCTTCTATGGACATAGTGGCTAGTGCCTTCTTCAATGGATTTTTGGTTCTTAATGTTGTTAAGGACGTCCCTAAGTATGCTTATTAATGGGGTCGCTCCGATCCCTAGACCTACCAGAAGCAATACATCGTAGTTTCGGTAATCTTGTGCCGGTGCACCATATGGACCATCAATCAAGAGCCTCGGAAACCTTTCGATTTAAATTGATTAGCAAAAAAAAAAAAAAAAAGATTAATATTCGTTAATCAGACGACAGACTTGTACATGTTTCATAAAAAAAAATTTGATGCTCTGTTTTCTTTAAACGTAATTGCGCAAATAAATAAATTAAATACCTGGTTATGTTATTGGCTTGACCTTTGTCAGCTATGAAGAGCCCACTTTGACTTGTTAACGGAGGTTGACAAACCTATTTTTGTTTTTGTAACTTCAATCATTAATCAAACTAGAATTCTGATCAAATATATGTCGTCTTTTTATAAATTCTTGTATTTACGCTTGAAAAATGACCTTCGAAAATAAGGATTTGAGTTGTGATGTCCAATCTCCGAGGGTACGGATATGAATGCTGAGGAAATCGTCTCCGGAAGCCGAAGTAATCGAAAACGGATGCCTATATACAAACAATATAGAAATTGAAGAGGCTCACCAATCACCAAATTATGAAATTAATTTCATGCATAATTATGTTCATTAGTATTTGTTAATTACCATTGTAATGGTGAGACGTCAGAACAGTTAACATATATGTACTGCCCACTTGTGTACTTGAAACCTTTAGGTTTTGACATGTAGAGTGAAAGTACATTTCCTGGATATACTGCGACCTGAAAATTATTCTTTTTTTAATGAATTTGTTTTGCAGGACGTATTACCTATTCTGAAGATAGCTAATATCTAGACTACGTTCACAGAAATTTTTCATTCATGGTCTTGGTTTCTTCGACAGCTAATAATTATGATTTTGATTTTAATTTGGACCCTTGTTTGACTATTTTAAAAAATTTTAACACTAGAACTTACAATTTAGTTGCGATAATATTGAGATATACCTTCAAAATCTTTACCGCCTTGGAACCTGATCTAAATAAACGAATCAATCTTTCACACGCATACAATATCATTGGAACAGCCAGATACATCCACGTCTGTCCAAAATAATAATAATAAAAACAAACAAACAAACGAGGTTTCCATTAAAGTTCACTTTTTAGATTAGAATTATCAATTATGTAAGATCTTTAAGAATAAAATTGTTTTTAAATATCGTAATTAGTTAAGAGGTAAGAAATTTTTAATCGTACGTACCGTTTTCACGTACCATTCCTTGGAGAGGTAAATAAAATAGCCATGCACGATGAGAAGCACATAAACGATGACAAATAAATGGTGTGAATACCAAAACGCGTTAAAACCGGTTAACCGTTTGAACGCTTTTGGTAGGTTGTTGGCCCGGTTGCGTCTAAACCACGATTGGGCCAAGACAAAGGCCACTACCATTAGAACCACCATAGTTACTCCGGTCCACCCATCTGTTCCTTTCATGAACCACCAGTAATTGTCCGGCCTCTCGTCTCCGAAGAACTTTTTCACTGGCTCAAACTCTACATATTTTGCATGCAGCAGTCGCGGAAAATCACATGCCATGTGAGATATGGCATGTAAGCCTATTCCAATCCCGATCCCTAGCGCAATAACCTGCATGCAAAGAAAAGAAAAAAATGACATATTTAATGTGTATACATATGATAGAACACTAATTAATGTAATTGCATATCATCATTAATTACCTTGTGGAAATTGATATTGTCATCAAATGGAACAACGGACCCAAGCTTAGACTTGGTCCTTAGCCAAGTAATAGTGTTCCTACACACAGGCAAGAGAATGAGAGCCATGTTGAATTTCAAGGTCTCTGCACTGCCTTTGGCCACGGAAACACAGTAACCCATCACCTCGAATGCGGCTCTGCGTTTATACTGGAGAAATTTCCAAGTGAAGAGAGCTATGCAAATAGATATCCACAATGCTAACACCCAAATCCTTCTCCAATTTTCCAAGAACAAGTATGATATATTCCTAGCAACTCTTTTCACCGGGTTCCTCTCTTTTGTTGGTATGAGCTTCTGGCTCAACATCTTGTTGAGTGCACGTTTGTTCTCGGATGATTGATTGTTGTTCGATTGGCTAGGTACTTGGAGAAGCAATGTTTCCAAGTTGTATAACTGCAAACAACCATAGCTCAAATAGATGCATTATAATGTGAGTTTTTCTAGTGTCCTAATTAAAACAAAAATAGACAGGTTTGATGCTTTAATATTTGACGGTAATTTTCAAGTAACAACGAACCTCGATATATCCGAGGTTGTCGCGATCGAGTTCTTCCATGATCAAGGCAGCGTATTCGTCTACCTTTTCTTGAATCTTCGATAGTTGGTTAGCCGATGCACTTAAAGCAATTATCTACAAACCCCCAAAATAAGCCACAATAATTAATACTTCCAATTTTAATTTTATATATAAGCAGCGCGCGTAGTTAACGAAATTGAGATCGATAGTTATCGCTAATAAATTATTTCTCACCTCCTTAACCTCTTCTCCCGTAATACGGCCGTCCAAATTTTTGTCCACCCTTAGTCACATGAACACGTATAAATAACTAACGCTCTCTTATCATATTATATGACGAGTGCATTAAAATTTACCACAAATAAATGAAACAATACTTACATATCAAAAAAGATTTGCAGCCTAGCATCAAAACTATTGCCCGTGATCTGCTCCCAAAATTCGAGTAATTCAGTTTTGGTGATCGACGATGACGTAGTCCCTCTTCTTCGGACCAATGCCTCGAAAAGCTCGTTCACAAATTCGCTCGATTCAACCATTCCTATTTGGTTGAAAGCAACTTTTTATTCGAATATTTGATCTCTCTTTTTCAGAATAATAAATATATATATATATATATATATATGATTTTTCCACAATACTGATAAATGATGATAAATATAATAATAAGAAAGTATATGTATTAAAAAGAAAAATATAAGGATATATAATTTTGGGAAATAAATTGAGTTTTTTTTTTTGCACTGACATTACAAAAAGTGGGTTGCCGAAAAACACAAGATATTACTAATTTTTATATGTAAAAAATACTTATTTTAAAACACTCGTTAAAATGAAAAGCAAAAACTATGTTACTTGGAGAGATTACCTATGCAATGTCCAAATTTAGATTTTGGAAGCTTCCCTTCAACGGCCAACTCATGGAATCTCTTTTCAACTTCATCCCAACCTGTGCCCACGGCGTCGTTTTTGGCTATGAACCTCAAACCTCTAAGTGCAAACATAGCACCGGACTTACTCCGGTCCAGCCGGGGTGAAGCGAACGACAACGACTTAACCATCGTTTTTAGCCTCCCCGAAACAACTGACCGAAGAATCGCCATCGGCTTATTCTTTTCCAGCTTCAACGTACTGATCATGTTCTCCTCTCGCATCTCGAGCGTGATCTCGACATAGTCATCACGATTGCATTGGGAGGTTTTCTCTCCTTCGGACCTGCAGGATTCCATTTCTTGCTCCATCTAATTCTCTTGCTTGTTTTCCAGTTGCTATGATTACAGTATACACTCTTTTTTTTGCTATATTTAAGGACGTTGAAACTCAAAAACAAAAGAAGACATCATTCGTTTCTTTACCAAAACAAAAAAAAATCATACGTTTGTCTTTTATTATTAGTATTTTCTGTTTTGTCTCAATCAATTTTATATTCTTTGTTTACCGTACCTGAAAACGAACTAGACGCCAATTATCATGATCCAACCAAATGTTTTTATATATATTATGATAAACGTTTATATCGTGCGAACATATTAAACTGGAATTTTATATACCTTTATTATAAGCATAAGTAGTAGTACAGTGACATATATACAAAATTACTAAACATGATTTATATGCATTTTAATTGATTTTTTTTAAAAAAATATTCATTAATATTACATATTTGTCAATTATTTAGTATGTAAAATTAATATTAACTGCTAGTCAAATTGAAACCAAGGAGCCGCCATTAGGGTGGTTTACGTGTTTTGTTGTTATCCTATTGTTATTGTCTTTTGATTCTGCTTCAATAAAAATACAAAACCAGGAGTAGTTAGAACATGGCACAGTTCCTTCATATATATAATTTGTGTCTGCGTAATAAATAAATGGAGTGGTTAAGCAGTGGTCATGTTCCTCCAAAAACTACACCTCACCTCTTGCATATGCCTTTTGTTTTGGCATCACACTAAATTCATTAGCAAAAAGAAAGATTTTTGTTTAGTGAATTAACGTCATACCCCTATTTTATCCTGGCTAAGAAATTATTTAAATTTGTTTACAAGAGAATATTGCTTAAACATTTTGGCTTAATTTTTTTTTTTGCTTGAATTGAGTTTTTTTTTTTTTGTGTAGTCTCCATTCCATACAACGAGTTCACTTGGGCTTACATGTACAGTAACAATGTGGGTATCATTTCTGTAATAGAATTTTAGTTTGACAAAGGAAAAATGTAGACCCGACGACATTGCAGTAGTATTTTAGAAATAAATTAAAAAGATTTATAAAATTTGATTAAAAAACGAAAATTCTGGCTGTACGTAGTCCCAATTTATGGATAATCCCTTTGATTATACTCTTTTATTTACTGGGGAATGGATAAAGTGATTTGAAAACACACGGATTACATTATAATATTTCTTACTTATTATTAAAATCGACGAAGATCACGTGGATATCACGTGAGGAAATTTTAATCGAACCAACCAAATTGGCTTGAACCATACGATTACTGAAATAACCAAACTAAACCAAGCGAGATGTGGTTGTATTACTCATACTCATATCCCACTCGCACCCACAGCGCGTTGCGCACGTTAGTCCAAAATCGAAAGTTATAATCTTTCAATTTTGCTCATATTTTGCCAAAACGCGGTATTGCGCGATTTTTTCGTGAATGAATTATTATTTTATTATTATTTTTTCCTCTGGTGCGTTTTATTTGTTATTCGATTGCCGTTTTGGTCGATATTTTGTGAAAATAGTTGCATTAACATCAATTTATGTTATTTGCGTTTTGCTTGTTATCTGTTGTCGTTTGGCTTTTTAGTAGAGGTGTCGGATGGAACCCGATCGGCGATGACGGTGAGCTCCAAAAGAAAAAGATTTCTCAGACGAATCTGGAAGAAGAGTGAATTGAATCGACAACTTGGCAAGTCTCTTTGAGTTCAGCTATCCGATCTCCATTTCAGTGTTCATCATCCAGAAAGAGCCATTGATTTCAAAAACATAGTGGGTCCTGCTCTGTCTTTGATCAACCCTTCTCTCGTCTTAAGTTCTGGGGTTGTTAGGTTTTTACTTAAGCTTCCAGGTTTTGTCGCTCAGCGAAATTTTTTTGATTTCTCCATTCAGGATAAGAATTATCGAACAAAGTTGAATCTTTAGTTTTAGAAAGCATTATGGTTTCATTACAAGATATTGCTATGTCGAATATCTTCGGCTCTTTGTCTTTGCTCAAATATACTTATAATTTTGTGATTATCTATCTTTTTAGGAATGTATCTTTGTATTCGTTTGATTCGAAACGATACTGAAGGAGCTTTTGATCCTCTCAATCAAATCTTTTGACTGCTAACTTTGTTTACGATTGCGTATTGCTATTGATTACTTACATTTCGTAAATTGTTTCCTTGATTGAGTGTAGTGTGGTTTACGAATATTAGAATTGGAAATTTGATCCTTTTTTTGCCTTAACTGATTTGCGAAATTCTACGGAACGAGAATTTCCTTGAGGAACTCGTATTTGTAGAAGAATGTCAAGTGGAGACGAAAGTGTCTCTTTTCCGTGTAATTTCTATTCTTGAAACTGGCAAGGCCACAACTTGTTCAGGTTTGAAAGTGAAAACCAGTGTAATCCTAACTGATTTTTGATCTTCTTCCCGTGAAATAATGAACTGAATGGAAGTAACTTTTCGTATAGATGTTCATCGGAGATGGAGCAAAACTTGTTCGTGATGCTTTTGTTGCTTGCAAAAGAGAAACCCCCTTGTATTGTATTCATAGATGAGATTGACGCAATAAGGAACAAAGCATTTTGATAGGTATCTCTATCTATAGTCATGTCTTAACGATTTGATATATCTAGCCTTCATTTGACTTTCCTTTCCAATGATTAATGCTGGCTTTTTCATGGTCGAGAAAAATGAATGTGAATGCAGATGTCAATTTTGAAGAGCTTGCTCGATCAACTGATGATTTCAATGGAGCTCAGCTCAAAGCAGTGTGTGTTGAAGCGGGCATGCTTGCCTTGCGCCGGAATGCAACCGAGGTATGCATATATGTCGACCTAGTGGTTGTTACCTTGTAGAATGGATGATGAGGAAGAAATGAGAAAATGTGGTGGGTGTTTTGCAGGTCAACCACGAGGATTTCAATCAAGGAATAATTCAAGTACAAGCCAAGAAAAAAGCTATTTTGAATTATTATGCCTAAGTCCTCTTCTTTCTTCTATTACCATTATAGAAAAGTTCCAAGTTCTTGTCCCTAGTTTTGAATTTGGAACCCCTTCAAACTTCCAATTTGTTATTATAAATATCAGCTTCACATGTTTTGCTTTTCTTTTGTTTGTTAATTTTAGTATATCAATCAATGCTACCTTGTTTTATCTCAAAGTAATATCTAGTTTAACTTCAATTAATTACATGTGCAAAAAAATAGACCTTCAAGTCTTTTTAAGTTAGAGCCTAAAATGTGACCAATACCTAATTTTTGCGAAGGAGAATAGTGAAGCTCTAGAGATCTAAAAACTTGTTAGTGGAGATTTATGCTAATTTCTGTATGCCACGTATTGCATAAGACAATCAGACAGTATCAACTATTAAGCTTAACTACGTTCGTTGTGAAAACTGTCTTTTTAATTTGCTTCAATTCAATATTCATTATAATGTTAGTAAACTATTTTTTTTCTTTCTTTGCAAACTTTGTGCATGTTTCATAAAATTTTATGTGCCTCCTCTGTTTTTCTTTAAACATAATTACGCAAATAAGAAATCAATTAAATACATGGTTAGATTATTTAGGTTGACCTATGTCCGCTATGAAGAGCCCACTTTTGATTTTTTTTGTGTTTAATCTCCATTCTATTTCTTATGCTTACACTGTTAATATGTAGGTATCATTTTTGTAATTTTGTAGAAAACGGAAAAATGTAGACAATATAAATTAGAAAACTTTATAATTTGATTAGAAAACTGAAAATTGTGTCTGTAATCCAATTTATGGATCTGAAGAAGTCGTGAAATATTATCAGGAGTTTTTGTAAGAACTGACAGCTTAATTACACGTGTATCTGCGTTATTAGATCTCTTACGTGTGTAAAAAGTTAGGAACGTGCCAACACAAAATAAATCATTCAGCTTACGTATCATGTAATGATTGGAGAGATACTCTAGCAAATTAAATACAAAATAAATCATTCAGCTTACGTGTCATATAATGATTGGAGAATATACTCTAGCAAATTAATTACAAAATAAATCATTCAGCGTATGTGTCATATAATAATGATTGGAAAAGATATTCTAGCAAATTAAATACAAATCCAGGTAAGCACATATAAATACACCGAGAGCTTCACATTCTTTTGAACCCTAAGGAAAGTGACCAAATTAAGAAGAATTCTAAACAACGAAGATGACGAACAACCCTCTTGCGTATTTGGTTTTTGTGACTGCTTCTTTAGGTAAAATTTTTCAGATGAAATTTCTCATATATCTATCCTTTAATTTCAGTGTGTGTTTTGGTCGATTGATAAGTCGTAGTACTGAACTATAATTTCAAGTATCTTCTGTTTGATTAATGTGTGCTAAGGCCTTTTTGATTGTTTATGAATGGAGCAGTTTTGATTTCAAGTGTGGCAACAGAAGGCGAGGAGCAGAAAATAGGTACGGTGATAGGGATCGATCTAGGGACTACATATTCATGTGTTGGTGTGTACCATAACAAACACGTTGAAATCATAGCAAACGATCAAGGAAACAGAATCACACCATCTTGGGTTGCCTTCACTGATACGGAACGTCTCATAGGCGAGGCTGCTAAGAATCAAGCGGCCAAGAATCCTGAACGGACCATCCACGACCCCAAACGTCTGATGGGTAGAAAGTAAGTCTGTTTCCTTAGTTTACTAGTGTGTCCAGTCTATGATATTGAACTTTTATTCATGTTTTTTTTTTGTGTGTGTGTGTGTGATATTACAGATTTGATGATCCTGATGTACAAAGGGATATCAAATTCTTGCCATACAAGGTTGTGAACAAAGATGGAAAGCCTTACATTCAAGTGAAGGTTAAAGGCGAAGACAAAGTGTTTAGTCCTGAGGAAATAAGTGCTATGATACTAACTAAGATGAAGGAGACAGCTGAAGCATTCTTGGGAAAGAAGATCAAAGATGCTGTCATCACCGTTCCAGGTATGTGTCATATACACTTTCAAAACTATGTACGGACGGATTGTGTGGTGCCTTTGAATGTATAGTAATCAAGAAGATGGCTTGATTTGTTTCTTGGTTGTATTTTTTGCAGCTTATTTCAATGATGCGCAGAGGCAAGCGACAAAAGACGCAGGTGCTATCGCAGGACTTAACGTGGTTCATATAATAAACGAGCCAACAGGTGCAGCCATAGCTTATGGTTTGGACAAAAAAGGTGGTGAGACAAATATCCTCGTGTATGATGTTGGTGGAGGAACATTCGATGTTAGTATCCTTACCATAGACAATGGAGTCTTTGAAGTCTTATCGACAAGCGGAGACACTCATCTCGGTGGAGAAGATTTTGACCACAGAGTGATGGACTATTTCATCAAGCTGGTTAAGAAGAAGTACAACAAAGACATAAGCAAGGATCACAAAGCGCTTAGTAAACTCAGGCGCGAATGCGAGCGTGCGAAACGAGCTTTGAGCAACCAACACCAAGTCCGCGTTGAAATTGAGTCGCTCTTCGATGGAGTTGATTTCTCTGAGCCATTAACGAAAGCGAGGTTCGAGGAACTAAACATGGATTTGTTCAAAAGGACGATGGAGCCAGTGAAGAAGGCTCTTAAAGATGCCGGTTTGAAGAAATCTGAAATAGACGAGATTGTTCTTGTTGGAGGAAGCACTCGAATCCCAAAAATCCAGCAACTGTTGAAAGATTTCTTCGATGGCAAGGAACTTAACAAAGGGACTAACCCTGATGAGGCTGTGGCGTACGGAGCCGCTGTTCAAGGTGGGGTGTTAAGTGGTGAAGGTGGTGAAGAAACCCAAAGTAAGTTTACTTACTGTACTTTGATGTGTTTTCACTTACTGTACTTTCATGTTTTTTCAGTTGTGAAATAAACGTATAATTATATTGAAAACAGATATTCTGCTTCTTGATGTTGCGCCGTTGAGTCTTGGTATTGAGACGGTGGGAGGCGTGATGACAAAGGTTATTCCAAGGAACACGGCGATTCCGACGAGGAAGTCTCAGGTGTTCACGACTTACCAGGATCAGCAAACAACTGTGAGCATCAAGGTCTACGAAGGCGAGAGAAGCTTGACTAAAGATAACCGCGAGCTTGGAAAATTCGATCTCACGGGAATTCTTCCTGCACCTAGGTATGATCTAAATTCAATCTTGGTTTATGATCATACAGGTTTGGTTGTTGGTTACTTAAGACGCATAACCATTTTTTTTATTCAGGGGAGTGCCACAGGTAGAGGTGACGTTCGAAGTAGACGCAAATGGGATTCTACAGGTGAAAGCCGAAGACAAAGTTGCAAAGACGTCACAGACGATTACTATTACGAACGATAAAGGCCGTTTGACAGAAGAAGAGATCGAAGAAATGATTAGAGAAGCAGAGGAGTTTGCAGAGGAAGATAGGATTGTAAAGGAGAAGATTGATGCGAGGAACAAGCTTGAAACGTATGTGTACAACATGAAGAGTACATTGAACGATAAGGAGAAGCTTGCGGAGAAGATAAGTGAGGAGGATAAAGAGAAGATGGAAGAGGTTTTGAAGGAGGCGTTGGAGTGGTTAGAGGAGAATGTGAATGCAGACAAGGATGATTACGAGCAGAAACTGAAGGAGACGGAGTCGGTTTGTAATCCGGTTATTAAGTCGGTTTACGAGAAAACCAGTGGAGAGAGTGAGGAGGATGGTGAAGATGGTCATGATGAGTTATAGAGTCAGGTGGTTGAGAGATGTTTCAGTCGGTTTATTGACCGGTTTCGAGGGTTGTTTTTACTTACTTAGGCTTATGTGACATTGGATTTGCAAATGTTAGTTTAATTATTTTCTGTTCTTACTCTTTTTAAGGTTGCTGGGATATGTGATAATTAGGAACGAAAGGAAGTTTATGTAGAATAGACTTTGATTTTTTTGAGAATTATTCGTTGTAGACATTGTTCTGAGAGGTGCCAATTCTTTACTAGTGTTAAGTGAATCTGATATCGATGTGGTTAAGTCTTTTTGTGATGCACATTATTCGTAGACAAATCCTGTTAATATTCCACTAGCAATGTCTGATGGCTTCTTTTTAATACTTGTGTGAATAAACCTATCCTATAGGTTTTTCTACGGTTGAGGTATATATAGCGGCCAAAAGACAGATTCTATATATGCGACATAATCCTACATCATGAGAAATACACAGCGCATGATCTTACCTCTGCTTCATAGCAAATAAATTCCTTATTTTCATTAGGAGAAAGCCAGAAACATAAAAGACAAGATAGAATTTGTTGATCTCTCACATGATCCACAAAAAGAAAAAGCATAAACATAGGAGCAGCTTACCTAAGAAATTGAAAGTTATAGCACAAAGGGAAATAATCAGAAATCAAAGTCACCACCCATATCACCCATATCAGCAACATCATCAATGGCTTCACCAACCAGCAACCCACCCAATAAACCAGCTCCAAGCCCAAGTCCAAGCCCCATTCCGGCTCCTCCGTGCTTCTTTGGTTTCTGCGGTTTACCATGAGCTTGCTGTTGCGGGTAACCGTATGGACCCTGTGGCGGGTATCCCGGGTATCCATAACCCGGACCCTGTGGCGGATAACCCGGGTAGCCTCCTTGTTGATGAGGCGGATATCCACCGTGTTGCGGGTATGCACCGGGCGGTGGATACCCACCAGGCCCAGCTGGAGGATATGCTCCCGGCGGCGGATATCCACCAGCCTGCGGCGGGTATCCGTAAACACCACCACCGTGTTTATCGTCGTGTCCCTGTGGTGGATATCCGGAAGGACCCGGCGGGTATGCAGACGGGGCTCCATGTCCGGGCGGGTAAGCGGTAACGGGCTGATGATCCATGGGCTTGTGATCTATAGCAGATGGGCCAGGCGCGTGAGGAGCACTCGAAGCTCCGAAAGTATACTTTTCTCCAAATTTGAAGGAGAATTTTAGAGATCCTTTGGCTTTTCCATTAGGCAGCCTCACCGAATACGTCACCGTTTTCTCCTCGTCACCGATCTTGTTCTGATCCAAAATCTCCTTCACCGGAACGCTAACCTCTCCGACGGGTTTATCACCTGCGATAGGCCGATCGGCCACGATCTCGATGACCAGTGTTAGACGATTCTCACGCGCCGCCGCGTCGTCGACGGTGAACTTCATCTGATGTTTCCATTTGGGTTTGGTCCCGCAATCTTTGTCCACCTTCGTCTTCTGCTTCGTCCTTGCGTCGCCGTTGATAGAAACGACGGCGTATAAGTCCTGCTTACCGATCATCTGGATATCTTTCAGATCCTCCGCGGATATTATCGTCAGATCCAACGACCTACACTCCATGATTTACTCGGATCGAGATGTATGAGAAAAGAAAAAACTTTGGAATTTGGTTTAAGCAAAGGCTAGATTTTTTTAGTAGTGGTGACACAAAAAATGAAAGGGTAAGGGTGCATATATATATATACGATATGCATTTATGTTCGAGTCGGTTTAAAAGAAGAAAAAGGTTTTTTTACACACACGGGACCGACACGTACAAGATTACTAATTTACTATTGTTTGGATATAAAGAACGCGGCTACACCAATTTTAAAAGGGAAATTAGTTTTTTATCCTAAAATTAGTTTTTTTCTTTCATCCTAAATCCTACCAAGTTTAATGTTTGCTTAGCTGTTAATTAGTTTAGTAATTTACTCTAGAATAAAGCCACCTACCAAGGGAAATCTAAATGATAATGGCAAATCTATCCGTTTTATGTTGATGAAGCCGTGAAAAAAAAAAAAGAAAAAAAAAAGATATCACACGCGCGTTGAAAGGATAATGCTAAAGAAAGCTCATGTACGGGTGTTGAATTAAGTATCTAATCTAGGATGTTGAATTTTGGCCTAAACTTATTTTCGTTGAAACATAGAAATTTGGAAGCAGATTTTTGGTTTTGTAAAAAATAAATTAAAAAAAAAACAGATGCAGAAATTGTATTAATTTGCATTTACCGGTCAATTAGTGGAAAAAAAATAACCGTCTTCTGGTACTCTTAGAAGTTTAGAGCTGGTTCAACATGTGTTAGTTTGCGCGTTTACCGGTTAATTTGCTAATAACCTTTTTACTCGTGTTTAGAAACTTTATAAAATGGAAAAGAAAAAAAAAAGAGAAAGAAGGAATCTTTTAAGCATCTTCCTTGGTATTTGCTCTAGTAGCCAAGATCAATGCGCGTGGAATAATCCAAAAGTTCCTTTTGCTTAACCTCCCTCATTGGTTCTCATTTTCTTGATCGAAGCGTCTTTTCAATTCAACGGTAGCTTCGTCTCCGCAACTCGCGTGGACTTGACGCACTAATACTATCCAGATTCTTTGCAACTTTAGTCACGAGATTCTTTGCAATTTTCTTCTCCTAGTTCACGCACATTTATGTCATATTAAATCGAACATGCACGGTGCTCATTAGTCGGAGCCCTTTTTATGTTAAGAGATAAATATGTTGAGACCTTTTCTTTTGTTCTTTTTTTTTTTTTTTTTTTTTTCTTTTGTTCTTATAATCAAGATACTTGTGTAATTCTTGCAGCTTAGACTGTATTTCGGATCCCATGTATTTCGCAATTTTTTTATCCCTACATAAATTACAGAATTTAGTAAAACTGAGTTTCCATATATTTCATGAACGTATAAGTATAAATTTGTTAAATTTCATATGCATAGTTTCTTTGAAACATATATATGGTATAGACTGGTAGTTGAGTTGTAACACTACATTTCTGAAATGCTTTCAAAACAATACTCAAAAATATATCGATGTATAACATCATTTGAGAAATGAGAACTTTAACTTCTTTTTTTTCTAAAACGCACTAAGTTCTTGATATACAAAATCAAATAGTATCTTTTATAAATAGAGGTTCAAAAACCCAATTCTCATTTTAAACATCCAGAATATAGTCGATCCCAATAAAACAAACATCCAGATTATAGTAGACGATCACTCAACTAGTTGGTCATTCAGAAGCTCATCTATACAAAAAATCACATTTGTTAATGAAAATTAGTTAAATAAGAACCAAAAATCAGCAAACATGTATCAATACGATTATATTTCACACCAGAAATCTTCATATGTTAATACTAACAAAAAATTATCCAGATTTAGATACAAAAAATATTGATTAGTAAACTGTAACCACTTCGAAGTTAATAAAAAGCCTCTTCCTGTTTTGATAGAATAGACATGTCAATGTTTGAATTTTATTTCCCTGCGTTATAATAATAATAAAAAAATAATGACTATTTAACGAAGACGAATCACGTTTACATGAAATTTTAATATGCTAACACAAACGGGTCTGTCAGTTGATGGAAACCGGAAACGTTGTCAACCAATCATAACACTGGCTTTTTTTTACATCTATTATGCAACACTGCATAGAATAACATAAATCAGACCAACAGATTAAATACGATATACAAAGTTCTTACCAAAACCCGGCTTTATTGTAAATCAACGGAATAATAGAAACTCACCACCATCACTCTAACCAGCAAAATAAATTGAAAGTATAATGATTCGGGTTAGAGCGATTATTATACATCTACCTGTCTATCATGTATTATTGTGATTACAAATAACTAAGTAACATAATTTTTAATCGTTTACCCCCAAAAATTATCGTAATGTTGTAATATGTAGATTTTTCATCCATATTTTCCTTTTTTTTTGTAACTGTAATTGGGATTTGTACTTATCTTCTGATTGTATATTGGGGATCCCACTTTGAATAATTGAAAAAGAAAAAGAAAAAAGAAAGAAAAAAAAGAAGAAAAACAAGTGAACTTCTGTTCTGTCCGAATGGGGAGTTCGCTTCTTGGTTACAGTGGCGAAAAGGAAAACTGAAGACAAAAGAAAAAGAAAAAAAAACACAGAAAAGAAAAAAAAAACACAGAAAAGAAAAAAAAGCGGAGATACAAGTATCCTGAACATGATTGGTCTCTCTCCCATCTGTGACCTCTGCAATTTCTCTCGAGCAAAACCCTAATTTCAGGTTTGGGGCTTCCTTCTCTCACTGTAAGCAAAAGCATATATGAATGTGTCTTTACACAGAAGGATACACTTATATACATGTCGAGACTTTCGAATTTCGATCTTACAGTCTCTTCTTCAAACGAGATTTCAATTATTCCTTCGATTTTTGACAATTAGCGTCTACCGAGCTTTCGTTCTGTCTTAGAATCTGTACGCACTCTTATTCTATACACATATCGATATACAGATATGTTGTAGCATGTATTTGTTGAGCTCTTGGGGTGATATTTCTGTTCAGTGATTGATCATGTGTGCTTCCGATTATTATTAGTTCGGTTTTGCAACTCTCTTTCTCTCTGTCTCTTCTCCAAACTCCTTAAGATTATTGTTTCAGTTTAGCTTCGTTTGATCGAATGTGTTCGTTGATTTGGGGGATTTTGCCTAGGGAATTGGATTTTGGGATTGTCATAAGCTTGACCCTCTCGCTATAATTGAGCAAGAATTTAAAGCTACCAATTATGTTTTTCCTTTAGTGAGTGCTCAATGTCTGAGTTTAGTTTGAAAGTCTACTGATTTGGCCTACAAAACAATGCAGGTCAATATTGATGCAAATTTGTGATTCTGTGATTAGAATGAGTGCTAATGATCAAACTCGATCTGGCTCCGGCAATGGAAACGGCAATGGCAACGGTGAGGGTATTCTCGGGATTCCAGACGATTTACGGTGCAAGAGATCTGATGGTAAACAGTGGAGGTGCACTGCAATGTCCATGCCTGATAAGACCGTGTGTGAGAAGCACTACATCCAGGCCAAGAAACGGGCTGCTAATTCAGCTTTTCGAGCGAGCCAGAAGAAAGTGAAAAGGAGATCATCATTAGGTGAAACAGATACATATTCCGAAGGGAGAGTCGATGATTTCGAGATACCAATCACCAGCACTGAGCAATATAGTAACGGTGCTGCCTCTGCTTCCAAAAATGATAGCTTTAGAGAGAAGAGACATGATAAAAGCCTGATTCGATACGCGCCCGAGACACCTATGATGAGGAGTTTCTCTCCACGTGTTGCTGTGGATTTGAACGATGAGTTGGCTGGAGATGCTGAAATGTTTGAAGAGAGCTACAGATCCTTTAGGACACGACCAACTGCTGCTATAAACATATCACAGCAAAGCATGAGTCCTATGGTACATTAATTTGTAGTTTTACATTCATATTTGTCTCTCTGGCTTATTAGGACTGAGATAACTGTTTTTATGGGTTATAGGAATATTCAGCAGCAAGCACAGATGTGTCTGCAGAGTCTTTGGGGCAAATTTGTCATCAATGCCAGAGAAAAGATACAGAGAGAATAATATCTTGCCTCAAATGCAGTCAAAGATCCTTCTGCGACACTTGTATATCGACACAGTGAGTCTTCTTTTTCTTTTTATTCCGTGTATATCAGAATCCTGTAAACCTCTGGTAGAAAGAGTTCACAGTACTGAAGATGTCTCGTGCACTTTAAGGTACTCTGAGATATCACTTGAAGAGGTCGAGAGAGATTGTCCTGCGTGTCGTGGTTTGTGTGATTGCAAACACTGCCTGCGTGCTGATAATACAATAAAGGTGGGAACTTGTATATCCAGAGATTCAAACCATTGCTACTTGCTACCTATTTTGGGGATAAATTTAGGACCATGAGATAACTCTTTGTGAAAAAAATTGCAGGTGCGGATCCGGGAAATACCTGTTTTGGACAAGTTGCAGTATCTTTATCGTCTATTATCAGCTGTCCTTCCAATGATAAAGCAGATCCATGTTGAACAATGTACAGAAGTAGAACTAGAAAAGAGGCTTCGTGGTGAGACGAGTTTTTATTTACTGTGACGCCTGATGAATCATTTTATACGAGTAACATTCTTTGCGGTTAACTTTAGTTTGTTTTGCACTGTAGGAGCTGAGATTGATCTTCTCAGGGCAAGATTGAAAGCCGATGAGCAGATGTGCTGGTATATCTCTCTTACTTGACTAAGATTTTCTATCTAAAACTGCTTCTATGTCTTTTGGACACATTGTATTATAAATACATGTTCTTAAGGAAGTTTGGTCTCATACAGCAACGTGTGCCGGATACCAGTTGTTGACTACTACCGTCATTGTTCCAACTGCTCATATGACCTGTGCCTGAGATGCTGTCAAGATCTACGCGCTGAGTCTTCGGTTGAGATTAGTGGCACTAACCAAAACATAGGAGACAAAACAGGAGTTCCTAAACTAAAACTCAACTTTTCACACAAGTTTCCTGAGTGGGAAGCCAACGGTGATGGGAGCATCCCCTGTCCTTCTAAGGAATATGGAGGCTGCGGTTCCCAGTCTTTGAACCTCGCTCGCATTTTCAAGATGAATTGGGTTGCAAAGCTTGTGAAAAACGCAGAGGAGATGGTTAACGGCTGCAAGGTATCTGATCTTCAGAACCCTGAATTGTGTGATTCCAGATTCTGCAAATTGGCTGAGAGAGAAGAGAGCGGTGACAACTTTGTGTACAGCCCGTCACTTGAAACGGTTAAATCTGATGGAGTAGCTAACTTTGAGAAACAGTGGGCAGAGGGTCGGCTTGTTATTGTGAAAAGGATACTTGATGAGTTATCTTTATCTAGATGGGATCCTGAGACTATTTGGAGGGATATAGACGAGATCTCAGATGAGAAACTGAAAGAACATGATCCATTCTTGAAGGCCGTAAATTGCTTGGATGGGTCAGAGGTAAATTGCTTTTGTTCTTCATTTCTTCATATTGCTCCAGGTGGTGTCACAGATTCATTAGTGTTCATAACTTGCTTCACAGGTTGATGTAAGACTTGGAGAGTTTACAAAAGCATATGGAGATGGAAGAAACCAAGAGACAGGTCTTCCACTATTGTGGAAGTTAAAGGACTGGCCGAGCCCTAGTGCTTCCGAGGAGTTCATATTCTACCAGAGACCTGAGTTTATCAGAAGATTTCCGTTTCTTGAGTACATACATCCCCGGTTAGGCCTTCTGAACGTTGCAGCCAAGTTGCCTCATTACTCACTTCAAAACGATGCAGGTCCAAAGATTTGTGTGTCTTGTGGGACATACAAAGAAACTGGTGCTGGCGATTCATTCACCAGTATTCACTACAGCATGCGAGACATGGTACATTACTCAGCTCTTGGATTTATATGAACTCACATTTGTCTTATTTTGGTCAATCAAGTGGTTCTCTCTTAGTAATTTGAGTTTTAATCAGGTATATCTCTTAGTGCACACATCTGAAGGAAATAAATTAGAAAGTGTGAGAGAGACGAAGCCTGGTCCAGGAGAGCCCGATGAGGAGATGGGGGAAAATGAGTCACTTGTTAGCCCTGAGGAAAAACAAAAGGACGCAGAGTTAGATGATCTATCACTTGGTAGAGTCAATACGGAGAAGAATGAATCTGAGATGATGTTGAGTGTCAATCCAGAGAACATAACGGATCAAGTTCACAACATGGAATCCTCTTGTATGTCTTTATGTGCAGGAGGATCCCAGTGGGATGTGTTTCGACGCCAAGACGTTCCAAAGCTGGCCGAGTATTTGCAGAGAACATTCCAGAAGCCCGATAGTTTTCAAGCTGATTTTGTGAGTCTTATCTGCTAGATCAATAAATGAAGTGTGAAAGTCGTCTTTTTCTATCTCAAATATTTGACTTTCCTAGTGTGTTTACGCGGGTTTCAGGTGTCACGTCCGTTGTATGAAGGATTGTTCTTAAATGAAGACCACAAGAGACAACTAAAAGACGAGTTTGGTAGGAAAACCAAACATTCTGTTTCTATTTCCAAACGCTTATTGCATGGAGTGATGACCCTTCTATTGTTTCAGGAGTTGAGCCATGGACGTTTGAGCAACGTCGTGGTGAGGCCATCTTCATTCCGGCTGGATGTCCATTTCAAGTCAGAAATCTTCAGGTCATATATTTTTATGCAACAAAAGGAATCAAATGAGTTTCTCTTCCATTGCGCTTACCAAGAAACTAAATTTTGCTCACATGTATACAATTCTCAGTCGAATGTTCAGGTGGTGCTCGACTTCTTGTGCCCTGAAAGCGTTGGAGAGTCGGCAAGACTAGCTGAAGAAATCCGGTGTTTACCGAACGACCATGAAGCAAAACTTCAGATTCTAGAGGTAACAAAACCTATGATTCCGTCTCTCGTTTGGAAAAAATCTCAGTGCCATCAGTTCTAAAATCCTTGAAATTGGTTTGCGTTTTTTTTTATAACAGATAGGAAAGATATCGTTATACGCAGCGAGCTCAGCCATCAAAGAGGTTCAGAAACTGGTCTCGGATCCAAAGTAAGTCGAAAGAATTTTATGCCAAAGGCCCAAAACTAATCTAAGGAGTGTGAAGTGAATTTGGACTGACGATAAGTATGCTTTTTTTTTTCTGAAATTTGGTTCCATTGTTATGACTGCAAAAGATTTGGAGCAGAGCTTGGTTTTGAGGACCCTAACTTAACCAAAGCAGTCTCCAACAACTTGGATAAAGCAATCAAGCGGCCGCAGCAAATCACCTGCACGTGATCAGTCGAGATTTGTACAGTAGTATTAACATTGTTGTGACTTTAGCTTAAACTACTATTCAGGATTTGTATGTATCTGTGTATATGCTTTATTGATCATTTAATTGTATGCATGAGCATCATCATTCCACTTCAATTCTCTTTCTTAATATGGACCATATAAAAAGTCACTTCAAATAACTCCCACGAATTATAGGAACATTACTTACTCCACAAGGAAATAAATAATAAGAATAGTATAGTCAAAAACAAAATTTTTGGTTTTTATTTTTATTCCCTTGTAGTTATTTGTTTCACTGTTTTTAGGTATTTTATAATCTTTATAATTATTGAGTTGAAATTTTGTGGAGCCACTCATAACTATATCTCTAATACTAGTATCATATATCTGATGGATTTACAAATGTATGAATATTTCTTTCTAAAGTGAAACAGTTTTTGTGAATGTGACCAGATCTGAAACTCTTCTCGCATGATAATCTAACTAGAAGTGGATAAATCATACGTTTGTAAATCCATCAGGTACGTTTGTAAATCCATCAGGTACACGTCCAATTATTTAGACACGTAAATTGGGCAATATCAACATGAAATTGGGCAATATCAACATGTATTCAATGAGATGAAGGGATTTTCTCATTTGAAGAAAGATAACTCAAATAGCAGACTTTAGCTTTCAGGGAAGGAAGAGAACAAAAAAATAAGAATAAAAGTTGTATAGAAGAAAACAGCCTTGGAAATGTTGTGTGTAGCGTTGTCACATTTGACCCAACAAAAAATGAAAAACAAAGAAGAAGGGTATGAAATAAAACCCTTTTGTTTAAAATTTCTACTTCTGTACACATTTATTCTTTAGAAAGGCCATCTTTCACAGCCAACACCCAAACTTTTAAGACCTAAGTCTCTGAAGCTCCTCTGCTACGCTTAAGTGAAAGCTTCAAAACAATCGGTGGAAGTTTAGGATGTTCAGTTATCACCGGCTTTGAATCCTGTCTACGATCCAGAGCCTTACTCTCACTTGTTATTGCATTAAGAAGAAAGGTAGGTTTTGAATCCTCTATTTGATCCAAGGGCTTACTTGCTGTTGCTTTCTTTACAAAAATGCTTCCATCTTCTCTTCTTTGCTCCAAATCTTCACTCCCATTGTCTGACAAAAGTTGTGCTCTGTTACACGCTTCAGCTGAGCGCTTTTTCTTCCTAGAGCTTTCACTTCTTCTCGGTTTAATCGTGCTCATCATTCTCTTGGTTGTAAGAAATCCAGACTCAAGAGCTTCCAGAGCCCGGGTGGTCAATGGTCGCTTTCTTGTGCTCTGTCTCCTAGGACCATCTGTATTAGTCTGTTGGCCGTGCTGTTGTTGTTCTGATGAACCAAGTTCTTGACTAGTTGCCAGATCATTGGAAGGAGAACTGTTAATTTTTGAGCCTGAGATGGAAGGCGGCTCAACGGCTTGCTCTTGTTCCAGATCATTGGACGCGCGTTTTTTGCCTGAGTCTGACACTGAACAGAGCCCGTTTGGTTCTTTTTCTGATGAAATGAGTTCAGGAGCTGTTCTTATCTCCTCTGGTGAACAGTTTTTGTCTACACCGGAGATGGAAGCTAACCCATTTGGTTCGATCTCTGACATTTCTTGAATCTCAACAAGCGAAGAGGACGGTCCAGTTCCAGTCTGTTTTGATTGATCAGACTTTAAGTTCATATAATCAACGGATAACACGGTTTCATCTCTCACTTTGTCCTCATTCATCTCTTCACGAGTATTATTTAGATGTTGGACCGCACATAAACTTACCTGGTCTGATTCAGGAGATACCGTCCTTTTTGTGTCATCACCCGGTAAGTGTTCGAACACTGGACTTTCTCTTGAAAGGCTTTTTTCCCTTCTAATGCAAGCACTGAGCCGTCTGCGTTTTAACTGTGGGGCAGAATTTACTGAATGATAGTTAGCTTCTTCTTGTCGGTTAGACTTATTCTTACTCAACCTCTTTGAAAAATCTTTAACCTTCTCCAAAGTCTCATCCCCCTCCTTTATACCAGAATCAGCCCCTACATAACCACTTTTTGTGTCATCACCTGGTAAATGTCTCCATCTCCTAAACCCAGATAATTTTTCACGGTGGTCTAGACTCGTATCAATAATCGTGAATCGCATTGGGTTATCCACTTGGTTCTTGGCATCCATAGGCATCACTTGGGACTTTTCCACGCTCTGAATGACCTGGGAATTTTCCAGCATAGAAGAAACTTTTCCTCCTAGAGGATTCTTTGGCTCAGAAACTAGAGATTCTGCATTCAGCTTCCGTAAATCACACAACTTTCCTCCTGCAGCCAAACTAGTGTCCACAACAGTGAATTTCATTCCCTGAGTTCCACGGTTAGAACATGGAGACCTGAGGTAACGATGTCTTTGACTACCAGACGGGGAAGAATCTTCATCTGATTGGTCAGAAGAGTTCTCTGCAACAACGAATTCATTGGCGGCCGCTTCTCTAATCTCTCCTCCTATTTCAAACTCAAGAAGATCAGGCTCCGAAGCAACCTTCGTTAGAATGTCACTGACAGAATCAAAGTAATGATCGCCTTTGACAAGTTCCCCTCTTGAAAACCGTTTCACGCCAGGGACAATGAAAACAATGTTATCCTTACATGTGAAATAGCCTCTCTCCTTGGGCTGCTCTGAATGCCACCCTCTGGCTAGCAAACGCGGCCATACAGCTTCCCAGAAGATATCATTGCACCGGGCTTTGCTTAGACGCGAACTGCCGGTTAACTGATTTATTATGTCAGCAGATGTGAGTGAAGTGTAAGCTCCTAAGCCCGGGACCGAAGAAGGTTTTGGAGAAACCGTGAACCATGGTTTGGTCTTCACTGTTCCTGCTGTAAGAACCGTGAGATCTTCTTTTTCTTTACCAATAGCCACAGCGTCTACCAGAGGCCTCAGACCCACAAGATCCTTCACTGCGCTTACGTATTTCTCCAGAGTGATATTCTCTTCAGCAAATGACTTTGAGACCTGCGATTATTAAGATCAATGACCATAACGAATATATAGCAGCATTTAAGAATTCAGCACTAGGATGTCAAAGAGACTCACATTTACGAGCATCTGCTTCTGAGATTCATCGGTAATAGAAGGAATCAAACGGGATAACAACTGCTGTTGCCTCCAACCTGAATAGAGCTTTCTTCCATTTACACATTTCCGGTTCCGCTTCTTGCGGGAATCAGACCAACTGTGGTATTTAGCGGACTTGTAGAACTTCCCATAGTAAAACAACATTATCTCTCTTGTTCCTTTGTTCTCCATGAATTTCTTCACTAGAGTAAAGTTCTTCCCGAATGTATACAGAGCAAGAACAAAGCTAGCAACCTCAGAATCTTCCCAAGAACTGGATGATATCTCAGGCACAGCCTCAAGATCCAATCTTTGCTTCTTGGATTGGGAATTCTTGTCACTCTCGCCTCTCATCTTGGCAGAGCAACGACTTCTTTTCGCTTTTAATGATCTCAAAGATTGGTTCATGTCAACATTATCATCTCCATTTCCTTGTCCTTTCTGATGTGTGTCTATCCACATTACTGGGACAGGTAGTCCGACGAGAAAGGAATATAAGGAATCATCCAAAGCTTGAGGAGTCGAAAGAAACACTGCACGTTTGGATGCAGACATCACAGGAGGAATATCGACCTGAAACTCGGCTCCAACACGAGGCTCAACTTGTGGATCTCCACAGGCAAATTCAACATCAGAGGAATCTTCTGTAACAGCTGTTTCTTCCACAAGATTGTTTTCCTCATCCATCAGAAGAACCATTCTCAAAACCGTAGAGAAACCTGGACCAACTTGTCTGCATAAATCCACAAAAAAACTACATTTTCAATATTAAATCTTAATAATTAACATATAGGAAAGAGTTTGTTTCACTGTTATACAAACCTCAAGAACATACAAACCGAAAACGTATGATTCAAACAGCAAAGAGAAATCAATCGAAGTTTCCTGGCGAATCAGATTGAACAGTTGAAATACAGATACATAAAGATCTGAAACTCATTGCCCAAAACAACTAAAGAATGAAAAGTAAAAACAAACCTCAAGGATACATACATTGTCCAGAACAACTCAATGGGGTAAAGTACAAAGCTGAAACATTTTAGATCACAGAATCAAACTGAAGGTTCAAGTACTTCAGATCGTAAAAGAAATTAAGAGATACCAAATACTTTTGATTGAAACAAACACAGACACGGGAATTCTAGCAAAACCCAGAATAAACTAATCCAAAAGTTAGAGAAACACGAAGAGGATGAAAAGATCAAAGCTAGTGTTTTGAGAGCCCGATTCCATTGAAACGCAGACCCAGATTCAGAATCTCGCTAACCACACATATAATCAGACCTGATCAAAGCAAAACCACAAAGTACCGATCCCGAACATCAACAACTTGTAGAATAGCCATGTAAATTCTCACTGATCTCGTTAGGGATTAACCCACGAGACGAACATACCCCAAAGGTATGTATGCAAGAAAAGCAGCACAAGTCGAAATCTTTACGCAGAGAACAAAAACGTGGAAACACGAATGATAGACAAGTGGGGTACTTTGATGTATAAAAAGGGAGGATTCCGCATCTATCTAATCCCCGATTGTTTGCTTCTTTGATTTCTAGGCATGAACCCGTAGCGTTGCGGCACAAGAAAACCCAGAAAAGAGGAGAGAGCAAAGACATGGGAACGCGAAACGTGAATTGCCAAACACGGCATAAGAAGAAAGAAGGAGATAGATTTGATAACCTGAGTTGTAGTTTCTGAGATGTCTCAACTTTGCAATGTTGGAGTTTGTGGCACTGTGAGATTCTCAAGTGGGCAATGAAAACAAAGGAAATCGAAGAAGTATCGTGTTTTTTGAGAGAGAGAGAGAGAAAGAGCACTGGTCGCTCTTTCAACACCAAGTCTTCGAGAGAAGAATGAAGCACATAAGGTGAGAAAATACAAGTCGAATAAGTAATATAATCATATAAGATTTTTTATATGCGTTTTTGGGGATTTCCATTGGCCACTTTTTGAGGGTTTAGGGTGTATTGTTTTCAGTTAAAGTATCCAATAGTTTTTTAAAAAAATTTGGACGTGTTTTGTGTAAAGTCTTTTCTTATTCGGTCGGTGTGGCTATATATTATCGTTTGATGTCAATTGATCTAATGGTCAAGTATAAGAACTATATACAAAGATGTATGGTAAGAAAACCTTTATTCATTAACGATAAATTAATTTAATTATCGATAAGAGACTTGACCATGAGATTTTGGAAGGATATACATACATTGGAAAAAACTGACTGGAGTAAGATGTTTTGGATGTTAACGGGTTAGGCAATTGATGTTCAGTGATATTTAGTGCAACATCTAAAAGTTTCTTAAATAAATATAGTTGTGGAAACGACGTCCATAAATTTGAGATTGTAATTAGTGGCTAGGTGTACCTAATACGGCTGAGTTTTTTCTGTACTTGTGATTTATTTTGTTAGTAATCCCAAATGCATGACAATCCTTGACAGAGCTTCTTTATAAACCTGATAAAGGAACAACTATGTGGTCTTTTCGAAAATGTAAAAAAATGTTCTTTACTTGCATTTTGGTAGTTATTCGTTCTATCCATGAAAAAAATAGTTAACTTAACTAGATTTTTTGCGCTCTTTTATCTATGGAAAATTCATGGTAATATAACTAGGTCCATGTAACACTCTGAACACCAACGTAGAGGCCACAGCCAGTGGAGGTCTTCAATCGGGGCCGTTACAATCCATATATGTATTACTCCCGAAAACCATCAAACACCTTTTCTACTATCTTGTTATTAGTTCAATTATTTAACTGAAAATCTTTTTAATGGATTGTATCTGTCTTCAGAGTTATTATTGGGCCAAAGACGAAAGGACCCATAGGGCTAATATACGACTTTTTTGGTCTTCGTCTTCAAAATTACTATTGGGCCAAAGTCACATTTGTTTTCTACTATCTTTTTTTTTTTTTGGTCAAATCATTTGTTTTCTACTATCTTTACGTTCATTTCTGCTCTAATTTAACTTTGGTACAAGATATAATTCAAGGCAGACGGTATAATTGTATTAAGTATATAGGTGTTGACTTGGAAAAGATCGATAGACGATAGGTACACCAGCACTTTATTTTTAATATAATATAAAATTACAAATGGGCTATAAAAAGATAGCGTAAGCAAGTTCTCTATTGATTGAAACATACAATTAGCTAGCAACGATTAGAAGACCGTTAACAACTTTGCAATTAAAATCCTTTAGTTGAAATGATATCACAAATAGTTTGAGAAAACTAGCTTTGTAAATTGTAATGGCAATTATCTTTTCAATTGGTTGTGCATGGACCGTTTAAACTATGTAAATCACATCACTGTATATCATATTAAAAATCCAATCTAGATTATAATTTATACATAATCAGACAGTGCGATTATAAGATCTAAAGTCAACCTAGTTTCGAAGTATGTAGAACGATTTCATAATCGCATATTCCATTTTAAATGACGTATTCTAAAAATTATTATCTTGTTTTAAAATAGACACGCATTCTAGTTTTCTTTAATAAAGTACGTATATTCTATATAAGTTCCAACGTAAATATTTCTCTGTAAAAACTTAAGCCTCTCTATACAATTATTTTTTTTGGTAACAAATCCGTATGTGGTGTTTGGAAATTCCGCCTTTTTCTCGTGTTTGCTATTTTTTTCAAGTACAGATGGAAACTTTCGAACATTTGTTAATAGTTAATTCATTACACAAATTAATTAAACCATGATATATGTTTGACATTTCAGAATGTCTCCCGTGGGTTAAAATGCTCGAAAGCCAGACGCTTAGGGTTTGAATCCATATATGATATGGTATTGGTTAACTTTTAACTACGACATTTTTTTTCTATCATATTTGGCCCACGTGTATATTGCTTATACATATTAACATATGTATTAGGTGAATTCTTGGTTTCTTGCGCAGTATGCTAATAAGTACCTTTTTTTTTTTTACAGAAAACCAAAGGTCAAATGCATGCGAGTGGGATATGATCCGTACCCGCGATATTATGCGGATTACATGCCCCGAATATCATAATATTTTAATGTTAAAGTTTTGACATTCCATAAGCCAACCATTGCTTCATCAAGAATAATTTCTTTTACCAAAGTAGCTAAGCTCTAATCAAAATTAGGTCCACTTCATTTTTCATTATGGGTATTATTCTCAGTTTCCATTAGGAGAACCTCATACGTAATTAATTTAGATAAAAATTAGATTTCCAAGATACTGTATATGAAACAGTATGTAGTCTGAAATTCGTCTGTACGTTTCGGTCGGTGAAATAGTTGTGGACATCATTTGTTTAATTTGTAGTGTAATAGTTAGCTAGTTGAGATGGATATAGGCTTTATATCGTCTTCTATATTATCGCGGATTGGATACATGATGAAATGAGTTGAATTACGTGATGTATAGACGTATAGTAATATATGTTTATAAGCTAGTTGATTAGATTATCATATATACTCGTAGCATTTCCATAAAGCTGAGACTATGGTAAAGGTTTCAAAAGCTAAAGCAAATTTTGCATAGTTAAAACATTACGCCACAAACAATTCAATATTAATTTGATATAACTTTCGTATAATTATACTTACGTGACATATTTTATTTATCTCATTTTCTTGTTAAAGTTTTTTATAAAAAAAAACATTGTTCGCTTAAATAGAAACTATCAACATTTTGTTTGTGAAACATGTTACGCGGGGTAATTGAGATGCTGTTTGTGGAAACGTATAATTAACAACAGTCTCCGGAAAAAAAAAAGTCTCTCCGGATGTCTTATATTGTATTAATGGACTATTGCTGAGTTCAATCGAAAACAAAAGCGCACATCAAAAATCCGAAAAAAAAACACACACACACAAACCAGACTGAACACGTCAACACAACTTATACGCGAATGATGATGGTAAAGCAAGCTATAAACAATAACCCAATATTCTGGTCTAACGCACAGCAATGTCAAAGGATATTCGAATCGTGCTATGTTACTACAATAATGCTAATTTAACGCTCCCATGGCCACATATAACATACATTGTAGGGATTAATAACTTTTTTGAATATTTTTCTAAAATAACACACTTTAAATTTTTGTTCCAAACATAGCATCGTCAATTTAAAGTTCCAATAATAGCACAAATATCAATATTAAAATAATTCAAAAAAAATTTCTAATAAAAAAACCTAAACCCTAAATTGGAAAAAGTGAAACATAAACATAATGTTTAACCTTATTTGTAATTCATTTAGGGTATAAACAAGTATTTCCACACAATAATTTGAACTACTTTTAGACTATTGATCTTATATAGTATGCTATGTTTGGAAGAAAAACTACTACTTGTGCTACTTTTAGTAATAATTACTGGATCGACTCATACCTTTTACATAAATTTAAATTTAGATCAATCGCTGTACTGCTTCATCAAATAAACGGCATTCAGTCTATCTTAAAAATCATGAAGTTCCAACTTAAAAATAATTCAGAATAAATTAATTGACCTATTATTATTTCTATGAGCTATTATAATAACAAACAAAATATAAACCCCAGTATTTTTTTTTACAGACGCCATGATTATCAACACATAATTAGAATCAAAATGATGACGATGCATAAGTAGAGATAGAGTTGTATTTTAGAGTTGCAATCAAACTAATGAAAAAAATCAGAAACATGAATTATTTAAGAAGGTTGATAGAGAGTGAAACCCACCGTAAATTCTAAAGATATCCAACAGAGAGATCTAAATCAGTAATAAAAATGAAGATGGCGATCTAAGCTTCACACACACATCCATCGAGAGACAGAATCTTAGATAAGGGAAGGGTCAAGTGCAAGACCATCATAGGACATCTACTTTACACATACACATACACATACACATACATATACAATACATACACATACACATACACATACACATATACATATATATATAGGGAGGGTCATGTATATTGGATGACCTGTATAAAAAGGTGATAAGAGAGACTAGAGTTGATAGACTCAATAAAAACAACAAGAGGAAAATGACAGATGAAGATAGATTGTTACCAATAGCCAATGTAGGGAGACTTATGAAGCAAATCCTACCATCAAATGCAAAGATCTCAAAAGAGGCAAAACAAACAGTTCAAGAGTGTGCAACAGAGTTCATAAGCTTTGTTACCTGCGAAGCCTCGGATAAGTGCCACAGGGAGAATCGAAAGACAGTGAATGGAGACGACATCTGGTGGGCTCTAAGTACTCTCGGCCTCGATAACTATGCTGACGCCGTGGGGAGGCATCTTCACAAGTACCGTGAAGCCGAGCGAGAAAGAGCTGAACACAACAAAAGTAGCAATGACAGTGGAATCGAGAAAGAACCAAACAATTACAGAAGTGATCCACAGAACCAACCGACGAAGTTTCTTAGGGTTTTGGAAAAAGGAAGCAGCTCCTCGGCTCGTTGAACTATATACATGTGACCTGAAATATGAAGCCAAGAAAGATTTATAGAGAGAACAAGAAGAAGAGGATTATTTAATGTTAATGTTGAATCTTTATTACAATGTATATGTTTACATTTGCTTTACAATTGTAATTTTCTACACATAAAGCTATGAGATTTTTTTTTTTTTCCTTGCTATGAGATATTGATTGTTTGAACCAGGGGAAGATCCCATGGATATGGAAGTGGAGAAGATAGCAGAAACAAGTACTCATCAAGATAATTTTTTTCTTTTTCTTACAGGAATGTGACTTCGTAAAGTCGTACGAAAAAGAGGTTTATGCCTATATCACCACATAGATCAAACTTAAAGCTGCATCCATTAGGCAAAAAGAAGAAGAAGAAGAGGTTTATGCGTATCTCCCCGCATATATTGATCTATTTCAGTGGCTTGATCAATGATAATGTTCATCCCCATATGCCTTTTGGAGCCTGAGGCTTAGCTAATGTTAACCAAGATAAAGGAGCATTGAGATATGACCATTTAAAATGAAATTCTTCTTACAGAATAAGATTCTATGTTGGTGAATGCTGAAGTCAGAAAGTAATTAGTTCACATTAATGGAAGTAAGCCTAGAATGTTGCCATTTGCCAGATCTTAGTTCACATGTAAGCAGATTGGTCTCTAGACAACTGAAGCACATGAAAAGACAATTTTAATTTAAGTTAAAGTCAATATTTCTTCTTTGCAAAAACAAAAACAAACAACAAAAAACAGCCAATAAATCCAAGAACAACCAATAGGGTGATGAGCTTTTTTGTTTGTCGCAAAGCTGAATAGTCAAAAATGGGGCTAGGGTTTGCGTAGAGATGGTACTAAGTTCAGAGTTCAAAAAAATAACCCCAAGATTATGAGGACCACAACCTTATGGGAACACTAACCCAAAATTATAAACGAATTTTCAAGATTTGTATATCTTATGACATGCTTGCTTTATGGTTATCTGCAAATGGGGTGATTTTAAACCATCATATAAAAAAAATAGAAACAATTCATCAAAGGAAGATGCAGCCTATAGTTATTTAGAGTTTTCTTGGGACCACTTCTCAACTATGTTATGTTCTTGCTCTATTATACTAAGATTGAACAAGTAGATATATAAGAGATTAGTTCAAAGAGACAAAAGCTGAAAATCACAAACATCAAGATATTTATTTATCAATAACTATACCAAGATAGTAACATTTCCATAGTACATTTGAATATTAGTATACCAATGTGGTAACACAATGTTTTGCTATGTACTTAAACCTTAACAATGTTATATCTGACATCTAAGTACTGAATGATTCTAGGATAATGTTTGTTCCCATTGGCTCAAACCATGGAATCACGGCATTGAGCTCCTGAACAGGCAGGCAGCGATGCCTCGGGAAGCAGGAGTGCGAATATTTTAAGGTATCCACAAGTACACACCACATCTGATGTACCCATTGAGATGGAGAAAGAGAAGGATGAAGAGGAAAGGTCCATGTGATATATAATAGCTTATATATTATGATGATTTTACATACAGCCATTGAGGGTTGCAGCATGGACAAAGGAATATAATAGCTTATTATGATGATTTTACATACAGCCATTGGTTTTACACAAGTTGCTGAATTTGATACCCATGAGAATGAGAAGCACATATGTCAAATTCTTCTAAGTAAAAGAAAGAGCTAGTTGATACCATCTTATTTTCTCCAGGAGTTATTTACTATATCTGGTACTGGACTATTCGGAAACAACTCATTTGTAAAAATTTCCAAAGCTTGGCGGATTATGTAAAGACATAATTCAGATTAGGTTTTTGTTTAAATGACTACAAATACAGTAAAAACCTGCACGATAAATTGGGATACAAAGTTATTACCACGATTTGATTTACAACCTATTTTATGGGATCTCTTTTAAAAATGAATCTAATGGAACCAAAAGTAATGCAAATGCGTGAATCAGGTAATTTCTTGATCCATCACCTCTATTCTATCAATTGAAGATAAAAATTTGACAACTTTGGTATTGTATAACATTGTAGTACACATATGTCATATGTGTATACGCTTTGCAAAAAAAAAAAAAAATCATTGGTTGTGCCTCTCTAAATTCGGATGTTCTTCTTATAAATAGAACTAAATCTCCAAAAGACTAAAACATTAACTCTAAAACATAGTTTTTAAAACTCAACTAAACTTTTTAGAATTACAAAATCGGAGTAAAACAGTTCATATATAAATGGTTCTCTTAGGGTTCCAGTAGCTAACGTCTCAATCTTGGTTCTGTAATATCCAAGAGCTTTAGTTAATCTCGTGCATATTTCAAATGTTAAAAATATTGTGCTGTATTAACCTTATCTTCTACATTAGCAGCTTCGTTTCATTCTTAAATTTAGCTCGTCCAAATTTATCATTAATTTCAGATCCTTCATTTGACATCATATTATATACTTTTAAGAGTAATTGCATTCATGATAGCACAAATTGCGTGAATAAATTAAACAAACTCGACGACAAATTTAAATATTAACAAAAATGAAAGATGAGAGTAATTTGGGTCTTTGACCGTAGTCTCTGTAATGCCTGCGATGCCTCATGTAGATTGTAGAGACCAGTAGATCTTGAACTTGAAGCTCTGTATATGCATGTGTCCTGAGATGTCTGGTTGAGATTTTCATCACTGATTGATTTTGTTATTCTTAATTGACCTTTAAAGATGTGCAGTCCAAGTATTTTACTACCTATATATACATTTTAGTGCGTCCTTTTATTTTTTATTTAATGCATTGCGCGGCCTTTGACCTAACCGCCTCGTAATGCTTAGAAGTTAATTGTTTTCATGTCATCAAATTTCGTGCGTGTAGTGCTTTCAGTGGATCTAGAAGGCGTAATTAAACCAACCTGAACGTATTTTGGATTCAAAACTATATACATGTTTTAGTTAAAAACACACATGTATTAATCTTTTTACTGTTTACATTTTACGTCTTGTAAACAAAATACATCATTTAATTGACACACTCAAAATGACAAAACTGTAACCCTTACAAAATCTTCAAAAATTGAAATAGAGTCTATTAATACTTAAGTGCTAGTGTTCTACTAGTGGTGGTATCGATATTTTTTTCCCATTCAAGTCTTCACGGAGGATCATGGCTAGATGGAAGGATACCTTGGAACCAAGTATGTAGCATAGTGGAATCAAGTGCCATGTGATTATTAATACTTTTAAGTCTATGCTGATTATTTTAATCATAATTCGTTTCTCATATATATCATACCCTGATGAAGACTACATTATTCCGGGACAATGTGCTTTTATGGATTTACTAACCTTCTGGGAAGGGTGTTTGTAATGGACTATCGTCATACACTCGTACTTTTTTATGTACATGGATTCTTCTCCCTCAGATCATGCAATCCTCAAAGACATTACACTGTTTCCTCCTTATACATCTTAACCCGACAATGGACTGGTGTAGGATGTAATGATTCATTTTCCTTAAGTTAATATATACAATGACTTGAAAAAGATTAAGACAAAAAAAAAACAAAAGGTTACTTTGCTTAACTGTTTTTCTGTTTGGCTCTAAAGTCTAAATACAAGAAACATTGTCGGATGATGCAATGAGAATTAGAGAACATGTTCTAATTTTGTAGAAAACAAAAAATATTGTTTTGGCTCATCTTAACAATATTTGTGATAGCTAGATTCACAGAAATAAATAAAACAAAAATTAGATTCACTTTAAATTAAACAGATTTGTGATAACTTGGATGCTTAACTAATTTAGTTATTAAATTTATGTGATAAAAATATAGGATATGAAACATACAGTTATTTTACGCAAAAAAAAAAGTATGGACTATTTGCATAATTATCATATATATTATAAGCAAAGTAAAATTTTGAGTCAAAGCTCTCTCATTCAATCTTAGGGTGGCTAATTACCCTTTATCCCTTCTTATATTTTTTAAATTTAAATCTAATAAAAATTATTAAAAATCGTAAATTAATTAAAAAATATTAAAAAACGTAAATTAATTAAAAATTATGAAAAATTGTAAAATTAATAAAAAATTATTTAAAATTGGAATTTAATAAAAAAATTTAAAATTTAATAAAAATTATTAAAAATCAGAATTTAATCAAAAAATCTTTAAAATAGAAAATAAACAAATATTAAAAATTGGAATTTAATAAAAAAATATTTAAAATCATATCATATATAATACATGCACAGTAATTTTTTCGCTATAAGCTCTCTCATTCAATCTAGGTGACTAATTACTCTTTATTCTTTGATAAAATCTTTTTAAATATCCTTAATTAATTAATTAATTTATATTCATAATTTGTATAACAATTTTGCTGTTATTTTCATACAAATTATCAAAATAAAAGAAGAAAAAAAACGGTAGATGAAGAAAATAAGTATAAGAAGATGAAAACCCGAAGATGCAAAAGAAAAAATAGAAGAAAGTAAAGATGTGTAAAAGACAAACAAAAATTAGAAAAAAAGTTTGGATAAAAAAATGACCAAGAAGAAATAAGAAGCAGAAGATAAAT